CCGGCACAACGGGGCCCTGATCTCAGCTGGGGCAGGGACTGTCTCTCATGGTGTCTGGGCAGCGCCTGGCACAATGGAGCCCTTATCTCTGTGGGGGGCCTCTAGACACTAATAAATAATAACAGTTTTTCAGACAAAATAGACCACTTGGGATCAACTTGCGACAGGAAGTCAAAATGCTTTTTGTAGGGAATACGTGGCAATGACTACCCTGCAGGATCCAATGCCACGCACAGATGGAGCTCCTCTTAAAAACTCTTTGTAGCAGCCACCATTCTTCTGCCCAGCAGCAGCCCTTGCTCAGTTTAGCTACTGCCCACCAAAGGAAGGAGTGGCTGTGTAGATTATTATGTACATGCACATGGGAGAGGAAACTGGAACAACCTGGCTTGTTTAGCAGGCCTGAGAGGGGATTTGATTGCTCCCTATAAATACATCACGGGATAAAACACCCGGGAAGGAGAAAAAGCTATTGAAGCTCAAAGCGAATGTTGGCACAAGAACAAATGGGGACAAACTGGCCATGAATAAATTCAGGCTGGAAATTAGAAGTTGCTACTTATCAAGGGGGAGAGGTGACCAATAATAGGAGGCAAGGGCAAACACCTAACTAATTTGAAGATGGAGCTTGATAAGTTTATTAACAAATGGGGTTGCCTGTGATAGCAAGTCCTGGACTCAATGACCCTTCCTGTTTTATGTCCTTATACTGAGAGACACCCATTGCCCCAAGAGCTCACAGACAAGACAGACAATGGTGAGGATTATTAACCCCATTTTAGAGAGATCAAGATTTTCAAATGAAACTAGTGATTTTTGGGTGCCCGTCATGAGAAGCCTTAAAGGGCTCTGATTTTTAGAGGGCAGGAGTTTAGCAATTTCTCCAAATCAGGCCCTCTGAAGCCATCTGATATTGGGCAACCAAAAATTACTCGTCACTTTGAAAAATCTTGGCAATAGGCTTATAATGGGAACTGCCTTTCAACTTATACTCTCAGATCTCAGCCATGACAACATAGATGATGCAGTTTTGAATCTAGCCGCTGAAACTTCCATGCTATTTAGCATCTTTACCACTACATGGACCAGAGGCTGTTATGAGCTTCAGGGCTGGAACCCTGGAATGAGTCAGTCACTAGCATTCCAAACCTAGAACCCTGGAATGAGTCAATCACTAGCATTCCAAACCCAGAACGAGTCAGCCACTAGCATTCCAAAACTGGAACCCTGGAATAAGTCAGTCACTAGCATTCCAAACTCGGAACCCCGGAATGAGACAATCATGAGCATTCCAATTCTGGAACCCCAGAATGAATCAGTCACTAGCATTCCAAACTCGGAACCCCGGAATGAGACAATCATGAGCATTCCAATTCTGGAACCCCAGAATGAATCAGTCACTAGCATTCCAAACTCGGAACCCCGGAATGAGACAATCATGAGCATTCCAATTCCGGAACCCCAGAATAAGTCAGTTACTAGCATTCCAAACTCGGAACCCTGGAATGAGATAATCATGAGCATTCCAATTCCGGAACCCCAGAATGAATCAGTCACTAGCATTTCAAACCTAGAACCCTGTAATGAGTCAGTCACTAGCATTCCAAACCTAGAACCCTGGA